CTGATCCAGAGCCCCCCCATCTCTCCTGTAGCCCCCTTTCAGCACTGGAAGGTGCTGGAAGGTCTCCCCGGAGCCTTCTCTTCTCCAGGCTGCACACCCCCAACTCTCTCAGCCTGTCCTCGCACGGGAGCTGCTCCAGCCTCGGACCATCTTTGTGGTCCAGCTTTGCTCATCCTGCAAACACAGAGCATCAGTCCCCTGTATCTGTGCTGCATCCCAGCCAGAGGTGTGCGGGGGTGGGCCTGGGAATGAGCGCTGGTCTCCAGCTTTCCAGGCTGTGTGCTGCCTGGTTGATCTCCAAAGATGCTGAAGGAGTTCAGCAAAAAAAGTGGTCTGCAATGGAAGCGCTGCTCTCCACCAACCTTTTGGGCAGGTTGATGCCTCATGTATAACCCACTGTCTGCCACAAATCTGTGTTTCCAGTGTGATTTTGGGGGACCAGGTAGGCAAAAGAGGAAGAGGAAGAAGAAGAGGGGTGAGAGTGTGATTTCCTTTTGGCATTTATCGCTGCTGGGAGCAGGCTGGGGAAGGAGCCTCCCCTGGGGCGGATCGGTGGGCTCCTTCGCAGCACAGGGCACAGCCAGGTCCCCATCGTCATCTGTCCTCCATGGGGACCATCCCAGTAGGAGCCTGGGCCATGGTGCTGCCCAGTCTACCCTTGCCCCCCTTGAGGGGCCAGTTCAGCCCAGGCTGCAGCTCTGAGCAGAGCTCCTGGTTTCTCTTCTTGGAATCCAAAAGGCAGGCTCTCGTGACTGCCAATTAGCAGCAGTTTAGCTTCATCAGCTTCCTGACTAAATGCAAGTTTTAATTGAACATCCCGTTTTAATTAGTCAGGCATCACATACAGTAAGCTTGCCTCGAGATTCAATGGCTGGAGGTCTTATGCTTTAATTAAAAGAAAGAAGCACCTGACTCCAACTCCAGGATCTGTGATAGCTCCTCATCCTTTCGAGGGTACAAACAGAACTGCTGGGAACAGCATCTTTTCTTTCCATGGTTTACTCCTCTTCTCTTTCACCTCCGTATGGATGCTCCAGCACTGGAGCTGGCTGTGAGATGTCTTGGTTGGAAGGAGAGAAGAACCAGGAGCTGGTTGCAACACTTGGGATGTCAGAGCAGGTGCCAAGTGTGATGCTGAGAGCACTGCTGGGGCAAATTTTCTGCCCTGGGGTGACAGGGAGCCCCGAGCCCATCTGTGGCTGGTCCAGAGCTGCAGCCATCTGAAATCTTCAGAGCAAATGGCATTTGCAGCAGCCATGGGTCTGCAGCAGCCAGAGGAGGTGGCTTTCACAGGACACACACGTAGAATCATGGAAGCATTTAGGCTGGAAAAGACCTTTAAGATCATCGAGTGGCTATTGCTAGCTCTTGGTGGTGGCCAACGCTAACTAACTCCAGGCTTTTCTCGGAATGCCAGATGGAGCTGTCACACGGAGCCAGCTCCGTGAATCCAGCATCCAACTCTGAGCAGGACCCGGTACCTCCTAAAATAACAGTCTCAGCTCCCTCTTACCTCAAGGTAAACCTGGAGGAGCTCCATAGCCGGCAGCGGGGTTATCCGGGAGGAGAACCAGCCCAGCTCCACCTGAGAGATGCTGCAGAGTTGGAAATGGTGCTTTTCTCCATTTCTTGGAGCCTGCTCAGCCCTACTGAGGCACCAGCCTTCTGCACCCAGCTGTGTTCTCCCATCTCCGGGACAAGGCGGAATCAAAGAGTGACAGAAATCCCTTTGTCAGTGTGCCTGGGAAGGAGGGTTACAGAGCTATTAGTGAGCACAAAGAGCGGATGGATCCTCTCCTAAGTGCTCTGGGGACAGAGATTTAAATGCTTAGCTCCCATTAATGCTAATGTGAATTACAGAGGTCTCTTCTTACTGCCTTGAAACAAGAGCATTGAAAACGAGGCCAGCTTTCTGCAAAGAGCAAATTCACTTGACTTTTAAGACGTCGCTAAATGGGATTTTTCTTCATTTCGTCCTCATTAATTCCCCTGCCTGTGCTAGCTCGGGGTGGGACTTTGCTCCGGTCCAGCGCGTGCGAGCTGGCTGGCCCACTGCACGCTGGAGGATGCTGGGTCTCCATCCACTGTCCCTTGTTCTGTAGGGGGGACAGTGCTCCCCAGAGTGGGGTTCCCAGCCCTGAGAAGCCCCAAAGATTTTATTTCCACATGGAGATGTGAAGTGCAATGCTCCAGCTTTCCGCAGGGAGGGGAAATCCCTCCAGTGTGTGTCAGAAGTATTAACAGCATCTTGTTTCCCACATTTTGGTACAGTACCCGCAGGAGATGAGGCTCGAGTTCCTGCTCTTGTGCAGGGTTCTCCATCTCCTGCTCCCTCCGCGCAGCTCCAGGAAACCTGTGCCTCTGCCTCCCGTGTCCGGTGATTAAATCCTTCTCCGAAGCAACAGACTCCATTAAAGCTTGGGTGTGCTCCAAGGGTCACGGAAGGTACCTGTAGAATTTACAGACCCCATCAGTCATTTAATTTCTCTCTGCAGCCTCTGACTTCTTATAACAGAAACCAGAAGGACTTTGTTTTTCTGTGCCGTACGTTTATGAATCACATTGTCACCGTGCCTGCAGCGCTGCCCTTAATGAATACATCCAGGCATGCCCGCGAGCCCCTGCGTGCATTCCCGCACGCTCTGCTGTCGTGTAGCATTAATTAACCTTGTTTAATGGGCCAACCACGACGGCTCGCAGCTCTGAGTCCCCAGCGGTGTGACTCTTGCCAGAAGCAGCAGGGATGCAGCAGGAGAGCTGGGCAGATGTTTGTTTCAAAGGGGACGTGTCCAGGAACGTGTCTCCGCTCTGGGAGAGCCTCGGCGTAATGGGGACCCTTCCTGGAGATCGGCACAAAGCTCGTGCTGATGAAAAACCGAAATTTAGAGCTCCTGGTTGCAGTGAGGAGCCTGTGGCCACCCATACGTAAGGAATTGGCATCAGCAGCGTTGCTCAGGTGATGCTCTTGCTGCACGTCACTGTGAGCTGGAGGGACCAGTGTCAGCACCCCAGTCTCCACACTGGGGACAAGGGACAGGGCAGGTTGTCCACTGTGCACCTCACCAACCTTACAATTATGGAAAAAATCCAGTTTCCTGACTAATCCATGCCCCTGGCCTGCAGGCACTGCTGTCATCGAGAACATCTCGAGCAGAGGGAAGGGCTGAGCCGAGGAGAGAGATGCGGTGTCAAGCTGCGGGGAGGGAGGTTCTGAAGGCGAGGGACCAGCTTTCTGGGGACTTTTGGTGGCTGCACGGTGGAACCATTGGGCTGTGGGACTGGTGATGGCCAGGGTGAAGGGGCTGCATGTGGACACTGGCATTGCAGAGCTCTTATTAAATTTTAAGAGCACATCTAAGATGCTTTCCCACTAGGAAAGCCTCCAAGAGTTATGTTGGTATAAAGATCCCCTTTTGTAATGTATGTTGATAGAAAAAAAAATAAAAAAGCCTCCCAAAGACTTTATTAAAGGAGAAAACCCACCATGCTGCAATTTTAACGAGTAGCTTGTAGACATACCAAACTCCTGCTGATTTTTTCTATTAACTGCCTGCGTTATCGAAAACGAGGGCCCTGCAGCACTCCGTTCTTGGCAAACCACCTTGTCGGGTTTAAGACATCTTCCTAAATCTGGGAGGGCTGGAGCTGTGCGTGGGCAGGATGATGGAGGCTTTTGCAGGGCGCAGCGGAGAGGACGAGGCAGGGCTGGGGTGCGTGGGGCTGCCAGTGCCGTGGGGAGCAGCTGGGGCTCCGACCTTGGCTCTCCTCCAGCTCGGGGAGGGAGGAGAGAGGGGGAGACCCCACTGAGCTGATTTAGCAATCCCATTTTTTATTAGTGATGCATTTGCTGATTAGCTCCACATCCTAATGACTCGGGCATGATAAATTACAAAGGAAATGCAGAACTCACTAGGGTTATATTAATTTCTCCTGGGGAAGCAGCAGTAAGGTCATTTTCTGGGCCATTAAATGGTCGCCATTCGTTTGCTACCTCCTCTCTTCAATAGCAATTCTTTTTTTTTTCTCGATTTCAGCCCAGTGCCATCTCAGCAGGTGCTGCGCTCCGGTGACCTCGCATCCCTTCTGCACCGTCACTCCCCTGATGGCAGAAGGGATGGTCACATTCAGTTTTTGGAGGTTTGGGGACATCAACCATCTTCTGGGTCCCCTTCTGTGTGTGCCCCAAAGAAAGAGCACACCTTGAAACCTGCGTGGCGTTTGCAGGCAATTTGCAGCCCACGAAAGAGGGAAAATCTCTCCGAGAGGTAAATTGTCGTGGGTGATTTGCCCAGCTCTTGACTTAATAACTCTTACTGAAATCATGGAAAAAAAGGGGAAGATTCCGGAGTTAATGTTTGGAAAGTGCCATGAAAATGACAAAGCACAAGACATGATCATTATTATTACCGTGTTATGCCGCTCAGCTCAGCACAGACCGGAGCGGGCTGTGGGTCTGCGCTCCCACCCCCAGTGCTGGAGGAAGAAGGGACAGTCGATATTTTGCGTGGCACTGGAGGACCCCGCTTCACCTTAGCTTCCAGGAGGGATTGGGAGATTTTCAGTCTGATTCAGGCAGCCTGACCTGTGCCCTCTTGCTGATCATCCTCAGCAGACATGAGTCAGATCCTACGGGATTTTTGGGATCTGGCTCCCCAGAGAGCACAGACCCAGGGGAGGTAGCAGCTGCCTTACTTTGAGACCCAGGATGGATGGTGGCTTCTCTCTGGCCACCCAGGGAAGCCTGGAGACGAGGCGGACACTGAATATCTGCTTCCCAAGCCCAGGACATCCGTGATGATGGCTAACCCTCCGTTTCCTTTCCTTACACTCAGGGCAGAAGGACACCTCGGGGGCTGCTGAGGGCTGCACACCCCAGGATGTAGTCCATCCCCAGCCCAAATCACACACCCATCAGCTCCTCCAGCACGAGGATGAGTCCAGGACAGGGAAATGACCTTGCTCTTTCTTCCCCCTGCAGAGCCAGCTTTCCCAGGCCCTGAACGGGTTGTCAGACAGAGCCAAGGAAGCAAAAGAATTCCTGGTCCAGCTCCGCAACATGGTGCAGCAAATCCAGGTACCGTGTCTCCTGGCCAAGGAACAGCCCCTTCCCACCAGGATGAGCTGCTCTCGGCAATCCTCTGTCCCATCTCCCCAGTTTGGTTTGGTGGGTGCTCTCCCAAATGGACCCACACCTGATTTTTCATATTACCCCCTTGCAGCACTCCCAAAAACTTCCTCCCAATGCTGCCTGTGTCACAGAGCAAGCTGCAGAGAGCCCTTCCCCTCTCTGCCATGGGCAGATCCAAGGATTGGTAGGATGGACCAAACCTGTTCCTCACTGCTGTGAGTCAAAGGCATAAGCACCCCACATCCTAATTCTTTGGATTTGTGTGTTGCAGTGGTGCAGCTGCACGTATAAAAATGGCCCATGTGGTATCTTAAAAAAAAAACCTCAGCTTTCCCAACTGAAATGGAGACGTGCCCTGAGCTATGCTCTGCTCTGACCCGCAGGAGAACAGTGTGGAGTTCGAGGCTTGCCTCGTGGCCCAGTGTGACGCCCTCATCGATGCCCTCAACAGAAGGAAAGCCCAGCTGCTGTCCCGTGTCAACAAGGAGCATGAGCACAAGCTGAAGGTGAGCCCATACCCACCAGCTCCGGTGGTCAGAGAGGTTTCTGCAGGGTTGGCACAGACTGGGACGAGGACTGTGATGCTCTTGGTTGGGGTGAAGTGCCGTGGGAGGAGTGGGGAGGTCACTGGAAAGCCGCTCTTGCTTTTTACATTACCTGAATTCCGTTTTGCTGCAGATGCCCAGCCCGCTCTGAGCGCGATGGGCCCTGAGCAAAGCGCTGCTCCCTCCAGGTGGTCGTTCCCACTGAATTACTCCATTACTGGGCCAATTACCATCATTAGGTCAGCAGAGCCATGCATACAGCATCCACAGGCTGGAAAATGACCTTGTTCATGTCCCATGTTGCTTCCGAGCTACTAGCATGATCCTGCGGGATGCTGAGTGCCTGTAACTTCTGCTGGCTTCAGCTCAAGTCTTGGGGCACTTGGTACCATGAGATGCCAGTTTTGTCTTCAGACAGGAGCAGGAGTTGCTGTGTTTTCTGTTCTGTGCTTGGTGAGGTTTCGCTATGAATTGTGAATTGTTGGGCTGCCTGCAGATTGCCTGAGGACAATGGGCACCGCAACACGAGGGCTCGCGAGTGTTTCCATCGGGAGATGGACAATCACAGCTTCATGGGACCAAGCCCAGCATCAGTGCCTGGTGTCTGACAATAAAGCACAACCCCAAACAGGCATGCCACACTGCCAGCCCATCTTCTAGGCGCAGAGAGGACCCCCACTGCCTGGTGGGCTTATTTTTCCCTCTTCCCCTTCAGGCCACGGTTAATTAAACTCTCACAAAGCCGGGCAGCACAAAGCAATTTCCCTGCTGAGTGCAACCCACACAAGCTTTTCACTTTTTGGCCAGAGGAAAGGATCTGCATCCCAGTGCTTGCTCTTACCATATCACCTGTCCCTCCAACACATGCACGTGTATGTCCCACCCCCATCCACCCTTGGGATTTGTCATTAGGCAGGCCTGGCCCTTAAAACAAGGAAAAACCCCTGGGTTTCAAACTGGGCTCTTAAAATCAGCCCTTGAGCCTCCCTCCCTGCAGGACTGAGCTCTTGCAGCTTCCTGAGTGCCCATTTGAGTCCTGCACACTGAGATTTGCCTCCCAGGGCTTCAGCATCGTCAGGTGGGGACACACAGCCTTGGCACGCAGCCCGTGTGAGCACACATCCTTCCCCTCTGGCTTGGGGACAGGGACAGAGAGGATCTTGCTGGCTTTCACAAGCTGCAGGCAGGACAGGGGGTGCGGGAGAGTCTCAGCCCTGTTGGGTACCTCCCTGCTGTCCTCATCGTGCGCACACAGGGTCCCCTGGCCACAGCAGGCCACCAAGGTGAGCGTTTGCCACCAACCCTGCAGCCTGGTCCCCAGCACCCCCTTCTTCGGCACCGTCACTGTCCCCATTGTGCTCTGTTATCCAGGGGAAGGGGCTGCCCGGGTCATCGCCGCGTGGGACAGTTTCCCCTTTGCCCCCTCCAAGGAACCCCCTGGACAAAGGCAGCACCTGCAGCTCCAGCTGGGGACAGGCTGGGCTTGCTCGAAAGGTTTCGGGAACATGATGAGACAAGCGTTGTGCCTGGAGCAGCTGGCTCCTGACGGGACATCTGCCCCGCTGCTCGAGGCTGGGGCTGGCTGGGGGGGTCACAAAGCCCCCAGCTCTTGCTCTGAGGCTCTGGAGCACTGGAAGCATTGCAGAGGGAGCAGGAATCCTTCCAGGGTGTTGGGAGGGACAACCTGGTTGATGTTCACATTAGGACAGTGGTACCAGCTTGTGGTGGGAGCTTCACCCCTTCCCATTAGAGACCAGTCCAGCACATCCTAGCCCGGCCTGTGTGTCCACTTGCCATGTCCCTAGAGCAAGTCAGCTGAGGAGGAGACGAGGAGATAGATTAACCAGTGAGACTCAAATGCGCGGATCCCATTCCTGTGTAGCACTCGGAGTTGGGCTCGGCTCAGCTTCAGGACTGACCTACTTTGGCTTGACACATATTTCATGGAGGCGGGCACCAGTCCAGGTTTGCCTGTGGGCCAGCACTAATTGCTCCAGCGTGGGAAGAGGTTTGGGAGGAAATGAACATGGAAGGGATGTTTCCCTGCCTTTCCCCAACCTCCTCCTACGCTTGGATTCAGATTAAGAACATGGGCTTTAAAAACAGAACACCTGGGGCCAGATGCCTGTTCTACCTCCAGGACAGACCCTCTTGTCTGTCCTGCTCCTCATTGCTGACCCTGGTTTTCAGAGGACCAGTATGATCTTCCCCAAGGGACGATGCCCTGTGGCGTGGGCCAGTTTGAGCAGGGGACAGGAAGAAATCTCTCCCCAGTCCATAGAACCCATGGACTGAGCTCTGTGTGCACCTTCTTTAAGCTCGAAGCAGCGTGGTGGATAATTCTGGCCTTTGCTTTGGGATTTCACCACGGTGCTTTGGCTGCAGAGCCCTTGCAGGCAAACAACAGTTGTCACATTTCCCAGAGGAAATTCTAAAAGCAAAATTTGGCTGAGTTTATATAGGAAACACTCACTGAGGGTTTCTCTCCATAATGCTGGATCTCCAGAGATGAAACACTGGTCCATGACCCTTCTTTAGGGCTTACAGGCAGGATTTTCCAGGAAAACTTGGTGTCCCCTGTTGGATTAGGTCTCTGGTGATCAGGACTGGTGTGACAGGATGAGGAACAGGGCAGAAGCACAGGTTTGGTTTCCTGTACCTTGTCATTTCTGGACTGAAACACCAGGCAGGACACACAGGTCAGATAAGCTCATCACGAGGTGCACTATTTCCCAAAAATGCAGATAAATGCTGCTTTCTCTGACAAATCCCTCCACACTCTGCACTGTTTTCCCCCTGCTGTGGTGTTGGACACCAGGAGCTGGGCGCTGAGGATGGGCTGTAATCAGGCTGCGGGGATGCCTCTGGTTTTCTGATGTCCCTCAAGCTTTCTGCTTGTTTTTTTGAAGAGCTGGATCAAGTCTGTCCTCCATAGCATCTGTCCATAGAATCATAGAATCACAGGATGGTTTGGGTTGGAAGTGACCTTAAAGATCATCGAGTTCCACCCCCCTGCCATGGCCAGGGACACCTCCCACCTTTCTTGTGCCACCTCCCGCCTTTCTCGTGCCACGTTCTCCAGCGGCTCTCTCTGCACTGCACACCAGGTCTCCATATCACACTTTCCCATGTTTTCTGGTGTCTTTGATCAAAACAGGCTTGAGCAAGCCTCCAGGACATGCTGCCGCCAACGTCACACGGGGTTGTTAATGCAGCAGCTCTGCTTTTCCCAGCTCCAGCCTGAGCCTCCTCTCCCAGTAGCAAGAGGCAAGTCACTATGGAAACATCCACCTGGAAATGCTCTGCTCAGAGGACGCGTGGTTCTGGGATTCAGCATAATCAGACTGTCAGGATCCATCTCAGGGATTTTTCCATCTGGGATTTTTCCATCTGGGTTTGCAGTGATGCAGCAAAGCACAGCAGCACTGTGCCCACTGTCCCCATGGCTGTGCAGGTGACTGTAACCCAGCCACGGTGTGCCTGGGGTGAGGAGCTCCGTACCCTCCACGTGACAACCCCGGCAGGACTTGTCCTGAGCACTGAGGAGCCAAGGTTCAAGTGAGGTTGAGCACCTTTAAAAACCAGTTATCTAGCCAAGTATTAAAAGAGGAGGAAGGTGAGGAAGAAATTCAGGTAGAGAGGATTGCAGATATTATTGCCTTCTAGGAGCTGTATTAAAATGTAAATTATAGTTAATGTCATCTTGTAGGGAAGAAAAGCTCTTGAAATAAATTTCCTATTTCAAGATAGTAGTGAGCTGCTGGGAGTGCACAGTAAAAGTCCTTTTTATAGGCTGCAGTTAGCAGCCAGGTTCTGACTGTTGCCTCTTTTGGCACCTAAAGAAGGCATTTGGTAAAAGCAACCACAAACAAAATGTATGGAGCTGCCCAGATGCCCTTTTCCCAGAAGATGCCACCACTCCCTGAGGTGTCTTACCCGTGTGGTTTCAGGAGAAGGCTGTAAACTCTCTGCCTCCGTGTGGAATTCACGGCAGCCTGGTTTTCCTGGAGATCTGATGGATACTGCAAGCCCTCTGAGGCCTCCTGAGGCTGCCCCTCAGTCCGACACAGACTTGTTTGCTTGCACGAGTCAAAGGCTTGAGGTTGCTTTCAGCTTTCTGCATCAAAATGCTCTTCATTACTGGGGTAACCAGGAGTGGGGGTACTCCGAGGAGTGGAAATCCCAGGTGACAGCAGCTGATGCATGAGGAGAACCACAGGGTGCTTACGGTCATATGAAAAACTTGGGGGCTTTGCTGGCCCCACTGGGATTAGACCATGCCTGCAAAGTGTGGGGGTTGTTTGTGTCTTATTTTTAAAACCTTTCATTTCCCTAATCGAAGAGTGTCATGGAATCTCACTGTTCCTCTCTGCTGTTTCGTGCTCCAGTTCTCCGGATGAATAGGAGCTGGAGCCCCGAAGGGGATCCCAGAGTTGCAGAAGGACAGAATCACTGGGGCTAAAGGTGTGGACAGGGACAGAGCCACAGCCACTGCCTTGGACACAGCTTCTGAGCACCTGGAGCAGGCTGCCCCGGTCAGGTTTTGAACATCTCTAAGGCTGGACACTCCACAGCCTCTCTGTTCTGGTCTTTGACCACCTTTATAGGAAAAAAAAAAGCTTTTACTTATTCTTGAATCTCAGTTTGCACCCACATGTGTACAGATTTACAGAGCCTGGCTGGCAGCCTGCAGCAAACACTTCCATCCTGGACCAGACCTTCATTAGCAGGGATAATCTGCTGGGAAGCTCGGTAATTAAACAGCCTGGAGCTGCCTGGTGCTGGCCTCGCCTCACACCACTGCCGGGGCGAGGGGCAAAGCCGGGGCTGACACCTCCGTGCTCCAGCTCCCTCCTCCCAGACAGTCCCAGGAAGCCCCCCAGGTCCCACACTGGCAATGGAGCAGTGGTGGCAGGTCCCCTCGCCTCACCGGTAACCCTATCGTGTGCCCAGGGCTGTCCAGGGATAACGTGCTTGTCCTCAACTGAGAAAATGCTGGTTTTTGGAGGCTCACATCTGTCTGGCGGTAGCAGATGGCAGTTCTGCTGGTAATACTTCAAAAGCATCTACTCAGGCAGGGAGAGGCTCACAAATTCATTATCCTGGGCAAACCAGACAGAGATTTAAGCTGCAAAGAAGATAAGAAGATTGTTTTACCAATCCCATCTTTGCTGTCCTCCCGGTGGCATGTGCATTTCCCCAGAGAGGGGTCTCACGTGAAAGAAGGAAGCTGCTTTTCTGGGCATTCAGGGTGGGATCCCCACTCGCCCATCTGCAGCCCAGTGGGCAGGGAATGCAAAACCTCGCTCTGGCTCAGTGAGTACAGTCAGGATATGCTCTAACAGCAAGGTTAGAGCCCACAGGCTGGGCTTATCTCACACCCAGACCCAGTGTCCAGACAGCCAACAACCCTTATAAGAGCAGAACAACCCCCTGCACACTCTCTCTGGGCAGAAGAGAGCAAATTAATGCAAAGGGCTGCTTCGTCTTGCATGGCAGGGGCTGCAGGTTGCTGCAAGGCTTTGCACCCCTGCTGCATCTGCTGGATCCCACCCCAAAGACCATCCCCATGGAGAAAGGAAGCCCAGGGACTTGATGATGCTTTTGGAAGAGGTCAGCGTAGGAGTCGAGATCTCCAGGACTAGATGTTGCCTCTGCTTCATCCCAGCAGACCCATTCCAGCACACTCAAGCATTAGAAACTGGCATTAAAAGAAGTCTTCCTTCTAATGACAGCGTTTGTGGCCAAAACCCCTGTGTGCCAGTCATGCTGCTTGCTAGCCCTTTCGGAGAGCCATCCAGCATCTCTGCAAGCCTCCATACACACATCGTGGTCCAGAGAAGCAATATGGGAGCTCCCCCTGCTGCCTTGTCCCCCCTGCACACAGGGTGCAGCCTCCTCCCCTCTGCCACAGCCAGGAAACACCAGGCTGGGATGGCTAAAAGCAGCAGGAGTGGGTGCTCCCTAAAAATCAGGAGCCAGCTAGGAGAGTGCTTGGTACCATTTTATGGGAGGAGATATACTGTCCCAAAGCCGCAGGACTGGTGATTCCTTTCTTCCTGTTAGGTGATTAAGTAGAGATGATTAAATTATAATTAAGGGATGTGATTGATTGCCCTGCAGGAGTCATCACCCCCGCTTGAAACCCAGATTCATTCACCGCAGGAGGCTGCCATGTGCTTCATTTCACCTCGCCAACCCTGGGAGCAGGAGGGATGCTCACAGGAGGAGCTCAGCCTGTGGAGCGGTGGGCACACAGGCGCTGGGATTCACCGACTGCAGTGCTGAGGACACAACTGTGCTTTTAGAAACCTTAATCGCTCTTTATTGCAGTCTTTTCCGTCACACTGCAGCTGCAGATGCTGGTGCAAAGCTCATCTTTACTGCCTGTAACATCCTGAATAGCTGTGATCTCTAGAGCTGCATAGCTTTGTGCAGTGCTCCTGGAGAACTTTACACAGCTTTAAAGCTCTTCCTGAAAAAAAAAAAAAAATCTGCCATGAGCACGTTCCTCTGAAGCATAAAATCTCTTTTTCTGAGCTGCTCTGCCAATCTCCCGTCCACCGCCAGGTCTGTCTGCCTGTTCTGCAGACAGAAATCCCGCTGATGCCTGGCTGGCACAGACCTGCAGTGTCTCCTTCTGGGGGATTCAGGGGAGGGAGCACCTTGCAGTTGCTCTGAGGGACCAGCCAGCCTTCAAATACACCCTCACAGTACTGGAGCCTGAACCCCATCCTCCCCGCTGGGTTTTGGGGAAGGTCAACAGAGCCCACAGGCACCGGCCGAACCACACACGTGGTTGTACTCCACTGCTGGGATGCTGAAACGCGTTCCTGGGGGGATACCATCCATGGGTGCAAGAAGATGTGGTTTAGCGTGCAGCCTGGGCATCCCCAGGCAGAGATTGGCGCGCTGCAGGGAGCCCTGCCGCGAGTTGTGCAGGATTTATCTCCTCTCCCTGGCACATCTCACCCTCTGAGCTCATCCCCAGGCTCCTGCTGCAGCCAGAGGAGAAAATGAGGCAATTCTGCAGCGTGGTCCATCACAGCTGATGGGCGGATGAGCAGCTCAAACAGTCAGAGCTGAAGCTGGGGGGAGGTGGTGCATGCATTCCTCTTGGAAATACCAGAATACCAGGCTAGCTGGTTGGGTGCAGCGGCCCCAGAGCCAACCCCACAGCCCGGCTCTGTGCCAAGGATGGATGGGGCAGCCCCAGGGATGCTGCAGCAGCAGCTGTGTATCTATGGACGGAGGCGTTTGCTTTTCATGGAGTTTATAAGCTGTCGTTTGGAAGCTGTCTTAATTAAAGACAGAGCACTGAACTGCCCTCCTGCTTTGAATAATTATGTGGGTTAATAATTTTCGGCTAAACAAGGCTTATTGTTGTTCACAGGGTTTTCAAAGATCTGGAATTCGATGCTTGAGTCTTGGCCAGTTCTGCCTTTTTCTCTTCTTTCAAGTCTTTGTCTCCCTCCACGTTGCCCTGAACCTGTCCCTGTCCCCACGCAGCACCAAAGCCCCCTTGCTCCCCATCTCCCAAAACCCCGCAGCTCCCAGTAACACCACTCTCCTCATCCCATTGCAGGTGGTGCGGGACCAGATTTCTCACTGCACAGTCAAGCTGCGCCAGACCACGGGCCTGATGGAGTATTGCCTGGAGGTCATCAAGGAGAACGACCCCAGCGGCTTCCTGCAGGTTGGTGTGGAGCTGCTCCCGGCGGGGCTACAAGGGGAGCAGGAAAAGCATTGCGCAGCCGAGGGACCGGGGGGAACGGAGCAGAGTCAGGGGAGTTACACCAAGGATGATGTCCCCAGCTTTTCCAGCTGTAAAATCAGGGTCCAACCTCTTATCACCTCCAGGTTCACAGCAGGACAGAAGCAGAAGCAGGGCAGGGACATTTCTGACTCTGAGCAGAGGGTTGCGGCAGACAGTGGGATATCTCATAACATGTTGTCTCCTGGCTCTCCAGCGAGAGACGGACATACCGCACTTGGGAACAGCATCCCACCGTTCACTCCTGGGCTGGTCACTTTGGTACTAGACCCTGCCTTTAAAATAGTCCCCAGAGCTCTGGGTCAGTCTGAGCCTGCAGCGATGGTGGAAGCCACGGGTGATGTCCCAGCCTCTGGCAGTCAGGGACAGCCGTGGCAGCATGGGAGGCATGGGGAAGGTGGAGAGCAGGGCAGGGACAAGGCACAGCACACAGCCAGGTCCTCGGTAGCTGAGGCTTCTCCTTGCCACCAGATCTCCGACGCTCTCATCAGGAGAGTGCATTTAACCGAGGACCAGTGGGGAAAGGGGACACTCACACCCCGGATGACCACGGACTTCGACCTGAATCTCGACAACGCCCCTCTGCTGCAGTCCATCCATCAGCTCGACTTTGTGCAGATGAAAGGTAAGAATATTTCCAGTGCCTTGCAAAAACCTGGATCTGCTCACGCTGAGTGCTTCCATGCAACTTATCACAGGGAAGGGACAGCAGAGGAGAGTTTTTTTCATCTTCTCCCAGTAAGACTGGGCACCCCAGACCCAGAGTTGTGCCTGTTCCTGTGTATTTTGCACCCTTGGGCCAGCTTTCTGCCTCCCTATCTCAAACCCCTGGGCAGCTGTGTAGCAGATCAAGGTGCTGGGAGCATGTTTTTGCCTGGCAGTGCTTTAAAAAGCACTCTGCAGTGCCAGGAGAGCCAAGCTGGTCCCTGCTCAGCTGTTGAAGGTTGGGACCAAGGTCTCGGGAGCAGCATAAGGTGCTTCCCAAGCCTCTGCTCGCACATGCTCACCTGCTCAGCGCTGTCTGGCATGTGCCAGCTCATGAGCTGCTGCTGCGGGTCCCTCCAAACACAAAGGCACAAGGAACCTCGCCACTTAGCTCAGGGTCTTTCCTCCCTCCCTTCTCCTCCCTGTTGTTTCAGACCTTCATTTCAGTTTGAATTTCCTCCTTGTTCTCCGTTCCCTCTGTGCTCGCTCTCCCATACAGCGGAGAGCCGCTGCATTTGCATCACTTTGCAAAAGGAAGCAGAGAGCCGCTGCAACCTGTGAGCAATTTATAACTTGGCAAGCCCCGGGAAGCAGACAGAAGATGCAAATGGGCTGTGACGCAGGGAAGCTCAGGAGGACATTGAACGTAGGCCTGCTCCTTCAGCTGGTGCAAATGAGCTTCCTGGAGGAAAAACCACCAGCTGCAGGGCTGGCATGGCTCTTCATTGCTGTCACGGCTCTTCATTGCTGTCACAGCTGGGTTTCCTGGCTCAGGAGCCATTTGCACGCACCGGCGTTTCTCAGCGGTCAGGCACAGGAAGGCTGTTGGCCATGTGCTTCCTCTGTAACGATAACGACCGTCTTCGAATAATGGCCCTGCTGGTGAGAGGGGTGTGTTGGGCACGGCTGCTGGGAGCGCCTGTTGGTGCTCATCATTAGCCAGGCCGTTAATTTGAAGTGTCAGTAATGTTTTTTGATCACAAAGGGAACCAAACCCAGCGAGGGCTGGATTACTCTTTTGCATACACACAAGTTGTGGCTATACTAGCATGTTCCTGCCCTCCCTTCTTGCAATTTAGCACAGAGGGTTATTTTTAATTAATAAGAGCAAATCTGCTGCTGGTGTAGGCAGGGCAGATCTGACAGAGGCTGTCCTCTCATCTTACCCTCGCTGTGGAAATCAGTTGGTGCGTTTTGTAGACTTTGCAGAAGTTTTGGATCCCAAACACTTGTCGCAGCACCAGGAGAGACAGGTCAGCACCAGCGGTCTCAATAAAGAGCAGAGGTGAGCGATAGGTACAGAGCATCCCACATCCATTCCCAGCACGTGCCGGGCATGAGCAGCATCCCTTCTCCTGTATTAGCTGTAACGTGGGGTTTTTCTCCACTCACTTTCTCCAGGCCCTCAGCCTGGTGGTTCATGACCCAGGAGGTGGACGTGTGATCTGATCTAGGTGTTCCTGCTCCGGCAGGGGGATTGGACTAGATGATCTTTCGAGGTCCCTTCCAATCTCTAACATTCTGTGATTCTGTGATTCTGTGAGTTGCAGAGGTGAATGGTGAACCTTTGCCAGCAAGTCCATCTTTTCTCTCCCAGGCATCCGTGGCTCCTCCACATCTTCTCTGGATTCTCCATGCCTTTTTTTCGCTTGGTCTTGTCAGGCTTTGGGCAGTGAGGATGAGGAGGGAGGACAAGCAGATCTGTTTTGGTGGGCTCTCCCTGGCCAGAGGATGGGATGTGTCGGTGGACATCCCCTTTCGTGCAGCACCCCTACATGCTTTGCAGAGCAGAAGTGGGCTGCGTTGCACACCTGAGGATGTTCAAATACAGCGGTTGGAGACAAAAAAAATCCATACAGTCCTTTATGTGCCCCATGGAGGGGATGGGACACTATAGGGTGCACAGCATATAGGGTGCACAGCCTATGGGGTACATACCCTCCCAGCTTCAGTTCCAGAGGCGCGCAGAGGCTGAGCACAGGGACTGCCTGGTGCCTGTTTGGGACCTCTCTGAGATGTGCTTGTGCTTCTCGTGCCTTTCCGGGTGGTGTTCAGCAGCGAGGACTGTTTGCTGTCTGAGCTGGCAGATGGGGCAGCCCTGGGGACCCCATGGGAACCCCCAGAGTGGGTGCTCTGCTTGGGACAGCATGGAAGGACCCTGAGCTCTTTTTGGCAGGTCGAGGGCTATAACTACCCGGCACCAAAATGCATTAGAAAACAGAGAAGCTCTGGGGAAATCCCAGCTTCACCAGGCTGCGGCATAGAGGAATTTAATGGAATTTATTTGGAGAAAGATCCTTTCTGCTTCCTCCCCATCTCACACCCGTGAGACTGCAGTTGCATCCCATGTCCCGCGCTGGCTTCCAAAGCAATAAATGCATCTCCCATGCTCCGACCGAAACGTGCATGCCACAGGTACCCCCTGCTCCTCCCCTGGGGTGCTAGCAGCCAGGGTTACACTAATTTGTGTTTAGTTTCCTCCCCAGTGCCGGCCCCGCCGATCCTGCAGCTAGAGGAATGTTGCACCCGCAACAACAGTGCCACCTTGTCCTGGAAGCAGCCGCCCTTGTCGACGGTGCAGGTGGAGGGCTACATCCTGGAGCTCGATGACGGGAACGGCGGCCAGTTCAGGGTAGGTGCTTGGGGCACAAAACCAGTCCTGGCAGCAAGGTGTTGGTCCTGGCTCTGGTATTGCCCTGCCTTGAAGCAACCAAAGAGTCCCCCAGACTTTTTGCAAGTCCCTTCCTTCACTGGAAACATGCTGCTATGGTGCCTGGGGCAGCTGACGGTGCAGACAAACTGCGGGTTCTCTCGGGGAGCAAAGTTATTTGAGGGAGTGGAAATACCTTTCCACTGACCAATACGACTTGCAAACACAAAGAACATATTCAAAGCTCCATCTTTTTAGGTTGCTAAATATTTCATGCAAGGTATGCTAATTGCCATGAAAGACTCATGGTTTGCCAGCTGCCGGTAAGCAGAGGTGTTTAAGGCCTGAAGGCTTTTAAATTGCTGTAATTACACAATTAAAATATGATTTTTCTCTGATCCGACACGCTGATAATTATCCTGGCGTGTTCACATCCACCGAGAGCAGGCGCAGGGACCAGCCTGTCACATTTTCTGAATTCACCCGCCAGAAATTCAGGCAGGTGAGAGCCAGAGCAGAGCCGAGGCAGAAGAGAGGTGATGCGAGTAGGATCTGGAGGGAGAAGGGAGCAGGAGGCTGGGTGTGGGGAGACCGAGGCTCGGCCCAGCCACCCCAGCAAGGTGAGGGCAATTTCCCAGCACACCAGGCTTCCCTCCTCCCACCAGCAGTGGGAAGGGGCTTGGATGTGCGTGGTTCCTGCCGCTGGGGTAATGGAGGGCTGCTCTGCCGCAAAGGGCAGCAAATGGCTTTGTCATGGGATCTGCTAATTACAGGGTTTTGTGAGCCGTGTTTCCGTAGCCCTGTTCACCGCTGTCCCTGGGCACACAGCTCTTCTCCTCCGAGCAGGGCTACGGCAGCAGAAGTGTGATGCGTCGGTGAGTCAGCGCCTGTTTGGTGTGATCACCTTGTTTTCTTTCCAGGAACGCTTTGATCCTGCCACTTAAGAGCATGGAAAATTGTTTTCTGCGAGGATGTTTCTGTGTCCTGGGCTGTGTCTGTATAAATTCCTCTCTCTGGCAGAGCTCATCCAGGATTCAGTGGGAGCATGACTGGGACTGATGCCTTGAGAGTTGGCTGTGTATGAGTAGCATATCCTCCCCCTTCAGAAACTGGTTTTATGGCACAGCATTGTCAAGAAACAAATCACAGGGCTGTTTTGCTCTCCTTTAGCCATATGCAGTGCTCACAAGTCTGCCCCATTTAGCAGAGCATGGCTGAACCCCATGCATCCCGACCTCTGGGAGCTGTTCTCCCACCCCCACCGTCAGGACACTAACCCACGCCTGTGTTTTCTTTGCAGGAGGTGTACGTGGGCAAGGAGACCATGTGCACGGTGGACGGGCTTCACTTCAACAGCACGTACAGCGCGCGCGTCAAAGCCTTCAACAAATCCGGAGTCAGCCCGTACAGCAAGACCTTGGTCCTCCAGACCTCTGAGGGTAAGGCATTGCACCAGCTCCAGCCCGACGCGCTCGGACACCGCTCACACGCACATGTGGGGCCTGTCCAGCACACCCAAGCTTAGCCTTGCGATACAGGGAACCGCTCCGCTGGTCCTCCAGTACCCGAGGAATCATTGCAGGAAAGCCAGCGAGGATGGGAGGAGGAAAGGTTATGTCAGGAGCTTTGAACAGTGCCAGAATTTCTCTCTCACCCCATTCTTTTGCAGAATATGGTTTTGTGGAGAGGTACAGTAAGAGGCATCCCACAGAGAGGGATTTAAAATTGGGTTGCAGCAGAGTTTGTATGACACAAAGGGAAGCTCAGATGATTTCATTCATTCCATTTAAAACAAAACAACGCTGTTAACGTTGCTCCTGAGACACTGAGGGCTGTGCGTGGCTGCACAATGCTGTAACCACACAACGTCTCCTGCAGCCCCTGGCAGTGCACGACAGAGAGCAGAGGGACCGTGGAGCCACACGGATGTCCTCACAGACCCACGGGGTGTACAGCCAGCCACACTGGCATCGTCTCCATCACCTGCAGGCACTCAGTTAGAATATTAAACATCCTCTTACAGGTTGCAGAGGAGTCTCCCCGCCTAACTTTAAGTACATTTGTTACACCAGTCACTTAATCCATCGCAGAAAATTGGCTTACTTCTGCCATGCAGGTGGAGAGTCCTAAGGCTACCTCCGAGAAGTGAGATGGGAGGCAGAAGCAGTGGGTGATGCAGCTGTGAAGGAAGGAATCAGCCCTTCCAGGCACCTCTCCCACTCCATAGCCTTGCTGCCAGGCGAGAAACCCCTCCCTGGGTGCTTTCCATGCTCAGTGGAATCCCTTTTCCTTACTCCCAGGCTAAAGTCTCTCTTGTCTGGCTCTGGAATCCCCAGCAGCTGCCGGCAGGCGCAGACTGGGGTCAGGAGGGAACAAACAGAGCTCATGGGGCTGCTGGTGGGGCAGAAGGAGGGTGAAAGCCTTCTTGCCACAGAGCAGTGGCTTTGAGCAAGGAGAAGAAAGGGCTTTCTGCTGAAAACTGATTTACAGATAGAAGCAGAGCAAGGTTATACAGAGCGTTTTCACTTGCCTGTGCTCATCTGCAGCAGATAACTGTTCCAGCTCAGAAAGAGCATGTCTCAGTTTTGGATGCATAGACAGGACAGGTTGGCAAGGAATGGGACGGATGTGTGACAGAGGTAGAGTGGAGAGCAAACCTGTGACAAACCTTTCTCACGTGAGAGGCAGAAAACTCCAATCACAGACCTTGCCATGTCCGTCTGAGAGCTGCGTGCGTGTTTGCGAAGCTGGTCACCAGCGTCAAGGAAGCTGCAGCATTCCTCTGGAGATCCAGGGACAGGACAACCCACATCCAACCCTGCACTGGGGTGGCCAGGACTGGTCCCAAAGCCTGAAGGTCAACAGTTCTCACCCTCTCCACCACCCAGCCTCACCAGCCCTTGCAGGAGACAGCAGAGTTCTGGCTTCTCATCATGTCTGTGTCTCAAGACCCATTTGAGACACAGTCTCCTGACCAAAACCAGTTGGGCTTTAAGCCATCCCAGCCAGGAGTTTGCAGGGTCCTTGCTATGGTCTTTCCAGCTCTGCTTTCCTCTCAGAGGTGTTTTCACTGTCATGCCAAGCTTGCCTGTTGCGCAGCTCCAAAATATGAAGGAACTTGGGGAAAAAAAAATAGCTGTTCGTGGTTCCAGCAGGTCAGGCTGTTCTTGGGGCTGGTGCCTTGCTCTGTGCCAACAAGCAAACCTTTCACTCCTCTGAGCATGAGCTGAAAGTTTGCTGCACTCAGCCTTCTGTTATTCCATCACGAAAGAAAAAAGAAGAAAAAGTCAAGCGGCCCTGGAGCATTTTCTGCTTTTAGGGACCGTCTGAGCTTTTTGGACTCAAAGTGAAATAAATTAAATCTCTGTGCAGCTTCTGGATATCCGAATGACTTGTTGAATAGAGCTGCCTCGCACATCCCAGCTCTCGGTTTGGCTTTTATTTCTGGCCTTGAAGTGCTATTTTGTCTGAAGTAGGCTTAGCTTTCCCCTTCAGCCATGCTCTGCAGCTTGCTGCAAAGTGTTCCTGCAGGAAAAGGGGACAAAAGAAAAGATGGGCTCGATATGAAGAGAACATCTCTCTGAACGTGGCTGTCCTGCTGTAAGAAATTCTGCTCAGAGGGTGTTATTTAAAAGCTGGCTTCTATTCCTCACACACCAGATCCTTATCCACAGCCTGTGGAAGTTAACTGGAATCTTTCTTCTGCCTTTGGTGAGCAGGGAAATGGGCTGGTGGGGAGTGAGATGTCTTGCAGGGTTTCAGCATCTGAAGAAAACAAGGATGAGAGGAATGTAAGACTCTGCAGGCATGCTGCTGTGGTCCTGTCCTGCCAAATGGCCAAGGTGAGCCAGGCAGCACCCACGGGGATGTCCCACAGGGATGTCCCACAGGAAGCTGCCAGACACGCAAGCCTACAGCAAGCTGCAGAGTGCCTTCCCAGCCTGTGGCACGTCTTCTCCTGCTCATCCCAAGGGAAATGACATTTTGCAGCTGAAGAAATTGCCATTCACTCTTTAAAGCCAGTGCTTGGTGCCACAGCAGGGCAAGGTGGCTCCTGGCTGGGAGCAGGTCTGTGCCCCAGAGCCCTTCCCACGGGCTTGGGGCTTGCCAGGGATGAAGATCCTCATTATCAACACCTCTGTGTTTCTTCAGCAGCTGAACAAAGTTTGGCTGTAGGCTTGGAAAATCAGTCTGGAAGAAAGTTTGCAAGGTGACCTTGTCCCAGGGCACCAGCAGCTGACAAAGCTCGGCTGGTGACAGCACTGCCTGGCTGTCCTCGCCCCTGGGAGTCTCCCCCAGCCTCCTCTTCCCTGGGCTGGGCAGCCCCAGCTCTCTTGGTCTTTCCTCATCCAGACTTTCCAGCCTCTGGCCGGTCTCCTGCTGACTTTGGGAAAAACAGTCTGTTTTTCTCTCGGCACATTCTCATTTTCATCCTACCCACAGCTGGTAGTCATGCATTCATGGCTGCGGCAAGAGCAGCTGTGAGAGGCTTTGCAGAAACCTCTGGCTCTGGTCTGCTGGTCATGGTGGGATGCAAACGGCCGCTCGCAGGAACAGGCACGGTGGCAAGGAACAGAGGAGGAGATCTCCTGGTTGCAGGTGGGCTGGCTGCTGGGCTGCTTTTCTCCCCAAGAATTTCTGAGATGGCTTCTGAGTCCCTCCAGTGTTGTCTCTCTCCATGGGCTGTCCAGCAAGCTGGAGGACAGGATGAAGGACCAACCTGCCCCAGATGGAGATGGAGATTATGGAGGTGGAGATGGAAGTGGAGGTGGAGATTATGGAGATGGAGATGGAGATGGAGATTATGGAGATGGAGATGGAGACTATGGAGATGGAGGTGGAGATGGAGATGGAGATGGAGAAGGGGAGCTCAGCACTGCTGGAGGGGACTGTGCCTGCTCCCCAAGCCCAGATCCACACTCCTTGCTGGTGCAGAGGTTCAACCTTCCTCCTGCCAGAACTTGACGGTCCATTATTACCCTTCCCCAGGTCTTTGCCCACACCTCAGCCCTTCCATTGGGTTGCTTCATGCCTTCAGCCACGCTCTCCTGCTGCCTGCACTGAGAGCCAGCGTGGGGAAGAGCTGTGTGCCTGGGAGCTGCCTTGGCTGCTCTGAGTCTCCAGTTTTAGGCATGGCTGCAGAGTTTCAAGGCAAGCCTGGCTTCAACTTCTTGTTGCTTTGGTGAGACACAAGCCAAAGCCAGGTTACCAAATTTGGCCAGCTCTGCCAAAACCACAAGCAGCTGATCCCGGCTGCCTCTGCCACCCACCTGAGCTGGGGATGTGGCAAAGGGGCTTGGGCACCACGCAGGAGAGCCCTTCCCCAGCCTAGTCAAGCTTTTCTCTTCCTTCAAGCCCAGTTCCTCATCTGGGGCCCAGCTTTAAGTTCCTTACCAGCCATGGAGTGACCCTCAGGGCTTTTTAGCAGGCAGGTTTTGGAGAGGGGTGAACAACACAAGGGGAAATACTCTGCAAGGAGCTATAGGAATGTAAGGTGTTAGTTAGGGAGAGCCATGAGCCCGGCTACTCTTGGTAGTAGCTCCTCTCCCTCTTGGTAGATATAAGAGGGCACGTCGCTCCCTAACCTTGAGCTCCATTTATTGATTGACCTGTTGTGCAGTAATTTATCTAACCCGTGTCTGAACCCACTGACGCTCTTTGCTTCCACAGTCTCGCACAGCTGCAAGTCGCGGGAGTTACAATCCACAGTGCAAAGAAATGCTTCCTTTGATCTGTTTTAACACAATTTCCAGCTCGATCCATATTCACAGCTGAGACAGGAACATATCCCTTGGCAAGGCTCCCTTTTTTCCCTAAAAAATTGCAGGAGGTGACCATTTGTGGTAGTGGGGAACGGAAACCAATGACCCAAGAGGTTCCCTCTACTCTGACATTTTGCTGTGAATCACATGAGTTGAATTCTTACTGTAAGGCTCAGATGTGTTTTGACAGGTACAAAGGGATACCAAGAACACAACATCCCGAACAACCTTTGAGTAAGGTGGGTGCTTGGTGGTACTTAGGCTTCTAGAGCTTAGTACAGCCCTGCAAAATGCCTTTCAGCGTTACCAACCAACTAGCTTTCACGCCAGTAATTATTGTGCACAAAAAGGTATGAGATTTATGAAAGAACAATGGGAAGTGTGCATGGTAACCTGTGAATTTTTTTAGGTGCGTTACTGTGAAGAGGTGCAGGACTCCCTTTAAAGAAAAAGCCTATTGACTTTGTCATGATGACATGGGAACATTTTGGAAGATGAAAATATGTTTATTGCCAATACTGTCAGAGGGAAAGCTTTCCTGAAGGGTCTCGCTGGGTTGCACAGCACCAGACATAGTCTGGTCCTGGGCGATGGAGTGACACCGTCCAGCAGATCTCTGATCTCTAGTTTGCATTGATCTTACGTTTAGACACGCAGTCAGAAGAACAGACCCTCCCTTTTCCAGTGCCTTTGGAAAGATCGCAGCTTCGTAGAATGAGTCCTTTCTCCTCCACCCTTAATCTACAACCCAGCTTTCCGGGGAGATCCTACTTTGAGCTAAGATCTTCGGCCCACCAGCTGAGCTTGCATTCTTCTTTACAGTCCCTGAATTCAGCCGGTGAGCTGAGTGCCTCTGACATTTCCTCTTGGTCTGTGCTTCTGGGCATCTCCAAAGTTCTTTGTTTGTTTTGTTTCCGTTGTGTTTGTTTTTCCCATGACATGCGGATGGCAGGGGGAACTCTTTCTGTTTGTCAGTGCCCTGCTCCTGCTGCCGAGGGACTTTCGGTGGCGTAGTTCTTGTGGTGTTTCCATCTGTACGTAGCAGCACAGTCAGGTTCAGGCGTGGGGGGACGGAGCAGCACAGTCACTCCTGACGTGGGTGATGTTCTTGGCAGGGTTCATGGCTGAACCATTTTGCTCAGCCAGCCTGCAGAGCAGATCCCTCCTCTCTAGTTTGCGTTGTCCTTGTGTCTAGGGACAGTCAGAAGAACAGACCCTCCCTGGGGGGGGACATCTCAATGGTTTGCTTGCCCTGTACAACCAGAAAACGCAGCCTCTGCTGGGAGATTTGTTCTGTTAAATTAGTTCGCTCAATTAAATCTAGTTTGCTCGATTAAATCTAGACCCCTCTTAAGAAAGAAGCAAGTCTAGATGAAAGCAGGGTCTGCTAAGGCCAGCTAAGATCCTGAAGACGTGGGCTCTCGTCCACTCGGCTTTGAGCACTGGGCTCAGCTTTTGCAAAACCAGCCGTGATCGTATCGAAGTCTTGTTTTCTGCAGAGCAGAGGAAACCACTCCCGTGATAACCTCGCTCGTCTGGCAGCACCCACGAGCGCTCTGCTTGCCTCCTTGCGCCCGCTCCTCGCGGGCTGCGGTGGGACGCAGGCGGCACGGGCAGAACGAGTGACGGTGTCGGGCAGCCAGCGAAGGAGCCGCAGGCACAGTGCATCTCTCAGAGCTGTTTTCTAACCAGTCTTTGCACATCTTCCGTTGCTAAAGATCCTGGGCCCTGATTCTTCCGCCTGTCTGGATTTACACCACTCCAATGGAGTAATTCACAGCTTCCTCTGGTGTAAGCCCAGGAAGAATGGGGGCCCCTGATTGTTTGATTTCCATCCCATCACCTGGAATGAGGAATGCCACAGCATGACCCTTGCCAGAATAACCGGGGGACCTGCAACTTTTTTTTCTTTGTGCTTTTTATGTTTTTTTTTCTCATTGTACTGCTGTGCGCTAATGGCTTGAACTCTGTTTTGTTACGGACGTTTCTTACTTTCGTGTCCAGTGTACCGAGCTCCACCGCGATGGCCGTGAGCAATACGTGTGTGTCCAGTACAGACCTCTGCAGCCGCGGGCTGGGGCGGGGGGCAAGGCGAAATGGGGTCCTGAATGTGCCCGTGTGTCCCTGCTGTTTCGCACTCGGGTGAAATTGTACCGCAGCGATGCGCAGACCTTGAAAGCCACTCTTTGAACAGGGGCACGGGGCACGATTCATTAAAACAGCCTCGGGAGGTGCTGCTCGGCACTTGCCGCGGCACTGTGGCCGGATGCTTTCCCACCAACACGCACATTGGCAGGGTGAAAAGCCTGCTTCCATGCCAGGAGAGAGTCGAAAACCAGTCACAGAGCTAGACAGAGGTTTCCTTAAAATCCACCACCATGCATCTGCCCCCAGGGACCCCGTCTCCTGCTCTGCTCCTGCCCAGACCACACACATGCAGGGGAGGCAGCCCGGGGAGGTCGGTGGTCACTATTCACTGGACACACCAGTGGCTGCTCCTCTTTCATCAGCCTCTGTCCTCCCAGGAGTGATTTTTTAAGTGAGAGTCAACCTAGAGAATATTTAAGAAGTGGCCAAGATATTCTGCAAGGAGTTTTATCCTTGCCCCTTTTCTGGAGGAAAATCCAATGATTTATTTGGTCTCCTGAGCAGACGTGATGCTCTTGAAGGCTGTGCTGGGATCTGGCCATGAAAGAGCAGATACTCCACACATCCCAGAGGTGAGACTCACCAAAACAGCCAACAATCCACCCTCGAACTCACGGGTCGTATTTGCGACCCTTCCCCACGTCTCTGGCTTTTAATGAATCAGGCTTCCCGTGCCTGGCTGGATGCTTAGTTAATGGTTCAATGTCACGAGTATTTTTCAGGTGGTTGTTAATTTCTTAGCTGTGATGTGTGAAATGTAGTATCTCTTTATAGGATGCACTTTTGAGACACAAGGAACACCTTACTCTCAATTAGGCAAGTATATTTATTACAATTAACTGCCACCTACCCCATGTTACTTATCCTTTCTTCTTTTTTTTTTTTTTTTTTTTTTTTGTTTTAATCTTTAACTTTTCTTTGGCAAGTGAACAGCATTTCTTGCACATACCCTGCTTGCAGAGTGCTCTCGGATGTCACGGCAGTAGGAAATTTGGAGGAGGAAAGGTCATTGCCATATGATGGCAAGGCATTTTAAGTTCTCCCCTATATGATTTCGAAGAGAAACCTGAAGTTAGTGCTCTGGAAGTGACCCTGTAATTAAGAATGGATCCTCCTGCTCAAAGCAATACGTATTCCAGTTCGTACGGGGGTAGCTGCTTGCCTGTCCCCCCCCAGACTGCCTGCAAGCTCGGGCCCATTCGTCCCCCCGGGAGAAGGACCCCCATGCCCAGCCCTGCAGGATTCCCTCCTCGGGCAGCTCACACACTGTGCACCCGCTCCCAGCCCAAACCCATCCTCCCCCCGTCTCTCCCCACCTTTATGCAAAATGCTGCAAGATCCATGTGCTCGCTGGAGAAGCAGGCGAGCAGAACTTGTTTCCTTCCTTCCCTGAATGCCAGCTTTCACATGCTGTTTTCTCTCCCGCATGCCTTTCCCTGGGAATGACCACAGTTGACATTAAAAAAATGGTGGCAGGTACGGAATCGCCTCCGTCGAGTTGCAAAACCGGGGCACCCGCGTGCATGTGAGCCGTCTTGTGAAACGATCCAATAAATTCGATGAATAAATCATCTCACTGGAGTGTTTTATTTTTCAAGCCGTTATTTACTCCTGCAGGCGTGAGAGTGTTTTGTGGATGTGTCAGTTCACATTTCAGTGACCGCTGGAGAAAAAAAAACCACCTGGGGAACCGGGCTGGTGGCTTGTGAAACTCCTCCGTGCCTCTGTCTTGTCAAGGATGTGCCGCTGTGTCTGTCAGATTTGCAGTAACCCAGCCCCGTGCATTTAAACCAGCAGCTGTACTGAGTCGTGGAGGTTTTTTGGGGCATTTTCCAGCCTTCCCATGAGCTAGCTCTTGTCTTACGTGTGGCCAGTTGCTCTGCAGGGAGGTTTCTCAGTGTGACGTAGCGTCTCTGTCCATGTAGACCTTTGTACGTGCTTTTTTGGTTCCCAGGACTGCCAGCCCTCAAACGCACACACGCAGTTTATCTGCTCATCCTCAGTCCCCTCCCCACGCTGTGCCTGACCCTGCAAACTGCTGCTTGCATGAGTAACCCTTAATCCTAAGAGTAAGTTACGTTAGCTAGAGCCTGGAGCCCTGGCTGGGATCACGCGTCTCCTTCTGCAAGGGCTGAATTTTAGGAGATGGTGAGCATCCTGCGGGCTCACCAGCAAAGGCAGCGGGAGGGGACGGAGACAGACACCGGGGAGCAGAAAAAGCAAAACCCATCCCAGCCGT